TCATACGACTATCACACACGCCCAAAAAGAAATGTAAACAATTATATAAGAGGTGAGTTGCCACTTGTAGGATGAGTTATTAGAGAAATCTAAAACATTTTTTTTCACATGCTGGCGGAATCTTCAAAAACACGCACTTTTCGTCTGTCGCATCGTGTTCCGTTGTTTTCCAGTAAATTTTCCCTTTACATGTCAGTCTCCAACTAACACTGTTCTGTATACGCCCCTGTATAAAGGGGACGTAAATTTGTTTTTTTACTCCACGTGCCAAAATACGGGATCATCCGGAAAATAACGGGATGTACCGATAAAGCGACACCTGCTGTCATAATACGAACACAAATTATTGCAACTCGCATTATGCTTACTGCCAACTGCTTAGTGCGTACTGTCACATGCGACTATAATATCGCTATCGTTGTCATCTTCGTTGTCGATGCGCAGTGATCCTATATTGCATTATATTTGTAATCAGTGAATATATTGAAGCATATGAATGCTAAGACACATCAAATTCGCCAATTATTGATCAAAATTAATAATTTATTGTGACATAATGTCGACAATATCAGGCAAATCAAAGGTACTGACAGAAACATACCATGTGACATTTAGTTATATCAAGAACAAGCAAAGAATGTTATCTTAAACACCAAACATAATACGTTGATCTTTATAAAAGATACAATTAAACATATAGCATATTAAAATATGTGAGTTTGATGGTTTAGTAGGGAACACATAAGGTTGCAATTACATGAAAGTGCATTCAGTAATAATAAGGCATGATTGAATTCAGCAAAACGCAGGTTTTCATTGTCATAAAGAAGTATAGAAGCAAGCATAATGTAAGTCCCAATAACATAAAGCAAGATGGAATAAATGCACTAATTCTATATAACACAGACCAAGTAACTTCGATTTTTACGCATGAAATGGTAAAGGAAAAACAACAACAAGAAAACAACAGCTGAACAATATGATGTATTCTGAATGTTTTGATTACATTATATCCACTTCAATGTTTCATATACAAAACAAGGCATGTAAACAAGATAATTAAAGTTTTTTTCTCTTGAAATGAATATAATATTATTATCTTTCAAAACTTGCAAACTAATTTAGCATTGTTTTCATTAAGCATTTCATTTAAGTTTCCTCAAATGTTGATTGTTCAGCCTCGAATTTTACTTCTATACAAGCAAATTCCTTGATTTATCCCCCTGTCGAGTACTGGTTATTACTTACACAATAACTGGAGACATAAGGCTTTATTTTTATATATTTATCATGGCGTAAACAGTAATATTCTTTGTACATGATAAATATTCAGAGCAATAACAGGGGCCATAACTCAGTGTTAGATAGTATTATCTGGGCATGCCAATGAGATGCAAATTGCCTTTTTGTATTAATGGTTCCTATAAAGTTTAATTGAATTCCAGCCAGTAGTTGCAGAGAAACAGCGCGGAAACGATTATTGCTTTTTACACATACTGCATACTAATCAAGGGCCATCACTCTGTGTTGGAAGGTCTGACAGGAACAAGGCAAAGATATGCGCATCTCTTGGTATTGATGGTTCCCATAAAGTTTCGCTGAATTCCAGCCAGTAATTGCTAGCGCGGAAAGAGGGCGGATGGACAATGCCAAAACAATATCCTCCCGTTTCGATTGGCGGGGAATAAAAAAAGCAAATGCACACTTTAAAACATATACTGCTTCTATTGATATATGTCTGTGGATCGAAATTCCATCAAGATTTCACACAGAAATTTCAGACCAAAATAGGATGAAATCGCATTACAAATGTTTATGTTAAATCAAAGTACATCCTGCTTCAATATGGCAGGTATCAACTCATTTGATCATAATACAACAAGATATGTTTGTAAAACATGTATGCCCCCTATCAGCAGCCAATTAGTCCTGTGATAAGGTTATTATGCATGACTTCTGACCCAGTGATCAAACAATTAATAAGGGTTATCAAGTATCTACTGGTCATGACCTTAACCTTTGACCCCTTGACCCAAAACTCAATAGGGGTCATCTGCTGGTCACGACCAATCATCATACAAAGTTTGAAGTTCCTAGGCCTAAGTGTTTTTAGTTAATTGATCAGAAACCGTTTTTACCTACAAGGTCAATGTGACCTTGACCTTTGACCCCTTGACCCCAAAATCAATAGGTCATCTGCTGGTCATGACCAATCACCATACCAAGTTTGAAGTTCCTAGGCCTAAGGGTTCTTTAGTTATTGATTGGAAACCGTTTTAACATACAAGGTCAATGTGACCTTGACCTTTGACCCCAAAATCAATAGGGGTCATCTGCTGCTCATGACCAATCACCATGCCAAGTTTGAAGTTCCTAGGCCTAAGCGTTCTTAAGTTATTGATCAGAAACCGTTTTTACTTACAATGTCAATGTGACCTTGACCTTTGACCCCTTGATCCCAAAATCAATAGGGTAATCTGCTGGTCATGACAAATCACCATACCAAGTTTGAAGTTCCTAGGCCTAAGCGTTCTTAAGTTATTGATCAGAAACCGTTTTTACTTACAAGGTCAATGTGACCTTGACCTTTGACCCCTTGACCCAAAACTCAATAGGGGTCATCTGCAGGTCACAACCAATCATCATACAAAGTTTGAAGTTCCTAGGCCTAAGCGTTTTTAGTTAATTGATCAGAAACCGTTTTTACCTACAAGGTCAATGTGACCTTGACCTTTGACCCCTTGACCCCAAAATCAATAGGTCATCTGCTGGTCATGACCAATCACCATACCAAGTTTGAAGTTCCTAGGCCTAATGGTTCTTAAGTTATTGATTGGAAAACATTTTTACTTACAAGGTCAATGTGACCTTGCCCTTTGACCCCTTAACCCCAATATCAATAGGGGTCATCTGCTGGTCATGACCAATCACCATACCAAGTTTGAAGTTCCTAGGCCTAAGGGTTCTTTAGTTATTGATCGGAAACCGTTTTTATCTGAGAGGTCAATGTGACCTTGACCTTTGACCCCTTGACCCCAAAATCAATAGGGGTCATCTACTGATCATGACCAATCACCATATCAAGTTTGAAGTCCCTAGGCCTAAGGGTTCTTTCGTTATTGATCGGAAACCGTTTTTACCTACAAGGTCAATGTGACCTTGACCTTTGACCTCTTAACCCCAAAATCAATAGGGGTCATCTGCTGGTCATAACCAATCACCATACCAAGTTTGAAGTTCCTAGGCCTAAGGGTTCTTTTGTTATTGATCAGAAACCGTTTTTACCCAAGAGGTCAATGTGACCTTGACCTTTGACCCCTTGACCCCAAAATCAATAGGGGTTATTTACTGATCATGACCAATCACCATACCAAGTTTGAAGTTCCTAGGCCTTAAAGTTCTTTAGTTATTGATCGGAAACCGTTTTTGCTTACAAGGTCAATGTGACCTTGTGACCTTGACCTTTGACCCCAAAATCAATAGGGGTCATCTACTGATCATGACCAATCACCATACCAAGTTTGAAGTTCCTAGGCCTTAAATTTCTTTAGTTATTGATCGGAAACCGTTTTTGCTTACAAGGTCAATGTGACCTTGACCTTTGACCCCTTGACCCCAAAATCAATAGGGGTCATCTACTGATCATGACCAATCACCATACCAAGTTTGAAGTTCCTAGGCATTAAGGTTCTTTAGTTATTGATCGGAAACCGTTTTTGCTTACAAGGTCAATGTGGCCTTGACCTTTGACCCCTTGACCCCAAAATCAATAGGGGTCATCTACTGGTCATGACCAATCACCATACCAAGTTTGAAGTTCCTAGGCCTAAGGGTTCTTTAGTTATCACTCGGAAACCATTTGGTCTACGGACCGACGGACCGACAAGTGCAAAGCAATATACCCCCTTTTCTTTGAAATGGGGGCATAATAATAACTTAACACCAAAGTTTGGACTCAAACGTGATCTCATTATCAGCAACCTACAGGCCAAAATATATCAGAATTTTTACTTAAGTACAGACGATTATTGTCCTATTTTATTCAAAACAACAATCAAGAGTATAACTGTCCAGAAGATGTAATTGTAACAATTAATGAAATCACTAATAAATGTCAAGAAATTGTGGAAAAATAAAATCATAGTTCTGCAAGTCACTATAAAGTTAAAATCAAATAAGTCATTCTGTGTGAATATGACATTGCCTCTACAAATCAAGCAATTAATTTGATAAACTTCATGGTCAAATTTGTTTTACTACAACCAAGAATAACATAGACTGAAAATCTAGGCTGCATCACTTTTTTTTGAAAATGTGTTTGAATATTGGGATTTATACTTCTGCTGTAGCATTAATTGACATTACGCCGCCTGTCAGTCAAACTGGCAGGGGTCACAGAGATAAGCCAATCAGCGATCGTTATCAGTTCAACGCTAAGATGCCTGCGAAGTCCACCATTTTCCTTAGAAAAGCTACTTGTCTAAGGCAATGGTACAGAAGTAGTTTAGATTGAAATTATTTTAATTTTCTGTCAATTTAAAGCTTTTTTAAATCGATTTATTAATTAAGTTACCAAATATACTGACATATTAACAGGTCGAGTAAGTTTATTATATTAAAAGTCAATAATTTTCTACATATGGAAATAATAAGTACTTATAAATAATTAACATTTATCCTGGCTATTACACAATGCATTGGAAAGGGAAAATGTTTTAATAAATCCACTTTTTTTATTTCCATTCTATCTATTCATAATCACATTTCATATCATAAGGTTCCAGAATATGTGACTATTTTTCGTTTATAACGTATAGCGCCAAAAATAAACGCAGCCGTAGAAATACAAATATAATGAGTAAATACAATAACAAATTGGATGATATTAGCTAACCTGAATATTTCTATTAAAGTTCAATAAATTAATATTAAATATTCAAATACCAATAACATCAAGAAAATAACGTTGTAAGAAGCCCCCCCCCCCACGCTCCATAAAGCTTATTCTGATTATTTACATTTTCTGATCAGGTGATCAATGATCAAGACTACAAACTTACCAATGCAACGTTTCATATGTTGCTGTTCCTTATATTTAGAATCAGAATCTTTTGAGGAGTAATCAGGTGATTCTGTTGCTACTTGGCAGAATCAGTCAGAAGCTATTTCATCATAACTGGCATCCTACTCTTCATCATAATTCTCATCACTCGACTCTTCAGCATCTAAATAGAAATTGAATCATTTAAAATGACAGTCAGTACTTGAAAACATGCAAATGATCCCAAATATCTCTTTTACTTATTTTAATTTCATTGCTAATAAAAAATTTAGAAACTATTACAGACAGAAAAACAACTTAATACCTACAAAATCCATTGCATTTATTTCATGAAGATTTTAAAATAAACAAATTATCTATCAACATTTTATAACTGATAAAGTAATAAGACCAATCTAAAGAACCTCCCTCTTAATTATTAAAAGCCGGATTCCACTGTAATCCTCTTAAAATATACTTCATTAACTTATGGTCCATTAGCCATGGTATAATGCTAGTTCCCTTATGAATCACTTCATATCAATGTAACCCATTAATCATTATCCTGCAGCTTAAATAAGTTTGCAAACTTACATGATTAATTTCAACCCCAGAAAAAACAATCTTCTTGTTCGGTCCGGAATTTTCAATATTTGTACCCTGTATCATCTCCACTCCTGAAAATATTTTGTAGCACTCTTCAAAATTCAAAATAAAGTAGATTTCCAAATCTTCTTTTTGACATGTTCTTTGTTTACTTTAGTTCATTGTAATGTACCTACAGTTTACCGTTGCACAATTCCTTACGAAAGTCATTAAATATTTCATACTGATTCCTTTAATTTCTTAACATTTGAAGAACTCAACAAAAGCTTTAGACACAAGACTAAGGCAGTCTTTTGGCACTGAAGAATTAAGTATTCCTCAGCTTAATAACTTGACTAAAAATGACTTTAATTAAAGACAAGTATCATGACCAACTGTCCGGAAGAAAATTCTAAAATACAGACACTTCTGAGAAAGCTTTTAATTTTAGAAAAATAAAATAGTATAAACGTCACTTCATTACTTCTTCATACCAAAATGGGAACTCAAGTGAAAATTTATATCAAGTCTATAAAGAAAACAGTATTCTCTGCCTAATCGCTGTGAATTAACAGTATTCTAATACATGTATGATGCAGGTGTTTTCTTGCCATTAAAAATAAATATTCCACTTGAAAACCAATTGAGGACAGTACATACTAAATCACCTGCAACTGAGAGCAGTGTGTAATAAATCACAAGCAAGTGAGAACTCTTAAAATACATTAGAATAACTATTTTTTGTGTAAGAACAATTTTCACATATCTTGTCAATGTCAGACCACAGTATGATGTAGCCAAAGAAAATAAACATTTAGATTCTCAATAGAATTTTGGATAAGAACCAAGCGGGTCAGGGCACTTTTTATTTTTCTTTTATTATTGAAATAAGATGGACTTTATTTCCATTGAAAATAAAAAAAAATGATTGGTTTTGTTTATGCATCATGTCCGCTGAAGGGAAAATGTATCTATCAGAGAGGAATCTAACTGAGTGGGGCGGACGGGGATGAGAATCAGACATATTTTTTTCTATGGCCTAAGTACTGTGAGCACAATCATAATACATAATACAATAACTATTATTATAAATATTCAGCTGTTAAATAAACTCTTGCATTTATATTAATTGTGAAACTAAAAGTCTAGTAGTTTTCGACTAGTTTAAATATTGGGCCCTGTAAGAAAACAGAATATATGCTAATAAGACAAATACCATCATATTCATTGATAGCTTCATGGGTTTTAACCTCATCAAGCTTGTTGGTAGACACTTCATTGGTATCAGCTATGCTGCTACTATTTATGGCATTATTTATGTCATCATTTATATCATCATATTCTCCAATATCTACAATTCAAGCAAACAAAAACATGCTATAAGAAATATTCAGGCAACAATAACTATAATTATTAGGCTATTATAATGTAATATATCCTATCTCATTTCAAAATGTATCAATAGCTCTCTCAAAAAGTGACAAGTTATCAATAATAGCAAACCAGTTTTCGAAATGATGACCAAAACACAAAGTCTATAAAGAAAACAGTATTCTCTGCCTAATCGCTGTGAATTAACAGTATGCTAATACATGTATGATGCAGGTGTTAAAAATATTTTTTGCTATTAAAAAAAAATGTTCCACTTGAAAACCAATTGAGGACAGTACGTACTAAATCACCTGCAACTGAGAGCAGTGTGTAATAAATCACAAGCAAGTGAGAACTCTTTAAATACATTGGAATAATTATTTTTTGTGTAAGAACAATTTTCACAAATCTTGTGCAATGTCAGACCACAGTATGATGTAGCCAAAGAAAATAAACATTTAGATTCTCAATGGAATTTTAGATAAGATCCCTGCAGGTCAGGGCACTTTTATTTTTCTTTTATCATTGAAATAAGATGGACTTTATATACATTGAAAATAAAAAAAAAATGATTGGTTTTGTTTATGCATCATGTTTGCTGAAGGGAAAATGTATATATCAGAGAGGAATCTAACTGAGTGGGGCGGACGGGGATGAGAATCAGACATATTTTTTTTCTATGGCCTAAGTACTGTGAGCACAATCATAATACATAATACAATAACTATTATTATAAATATTCAGCTGTTAAATAAACTCTTGCATTTATATTAATTGTGAAACTAAAAGTCTAGTTGTTTTTGACTAGTTTAAATATTGGGCCCTGTAAGAAAACAGAATATATGCTAATAAGACTAATACCGTCATATTCATTGATAGCTTCATGGGTTTTAACTTCATCAAGTTTGTTGGTAGACACTTCATTGGTATCAGCTATGTTGCTACTATTTATGTCATTATTTATGTCATCATTTATATCATCATATTCTCCAATATCTACAATACAAGCAAACAAAAACATGCTATAAGAAATATTCAGGCAACAATTACTATAATTATTAGGCTATAATGTCATATATCCTATCTCATTTCAAAATGTATCAATAGCTCGCTCAAAAAATGAACAGTTATCAATAATAGCAAACCAGTTTCCAAATGATGAACAAAACACAAAGTCTATAAAGAAAACAGTATTCTCTGCCTAATCGCTGTGAATTAACAGTATGCTAATACATGTATGATGCAGGTGTTAAAAATATTTTTGCTATTAAAAAAAAATGGTCCACTTGAAAACCAATTGAGGACAGTACATACTAAATCACCTGCAACTGAGAGCAGTGTGTAATAAATCACAAGCAAGTGAGAACTCTTTAAATTAAATATATTAGAATAATTATTTTTTGTGTAAGAACAATTTTCACAAATCTTGTGCAATGTCAGATCACAGTATGATGTAGCCAAAGAAAATAAACATTAAGATTCTCAATGGAATTTTGGATAAGATCCCAGCGGGTCAGGGCACTTTTTATTTTTCTTTTATTATTGAAATAAGATGGACTTTATATACATTGAAAATAAAAAAAAATGATTGGTTTTGTTTATGCATCATGTTCGCTGAAGGGAAAATGTATCTATCAGAGAGGAATCTAACTGAGTGGGGCGGACGGGGATGAGAATCAGACATATTTTTTTCTATGGCCTAAGTACTGTGTGCACAATCATAATACATAATACAATAACTATTATTATAAATATTCAGCTGTTAAATAAACTCTTGCATTTATATTAATTGTGAAACTAAAAATCTAGTAGTTTTCGACTAGTTTAAATATTGGGCCCTGTAAGAAAACAGAATATATGCTGATAAGACAAATACCATCATATTCATTGATAGCTTCATGGGTTTTAACCTCATCAAGTTTGTTGGTAGACACTTCATTGGTATCAGCTATGTTGCTACTATTTATGGCATTATTTATGTCATCATTTATATCATCATATTCTCCAATATCTACAATACAAGCAAACAAAAACATGCTATAAGAAATATTCAGGCAACAATTACTATAATAATTAGGCTATAATGTCATATATCCTATCTCATTTCAAAATGTATCAATAGCTCTCTCAAAAAGTGACCAGTTATCAATAATAGCAAACCAGTTTTCGAAATGATGACCAAAACACAAAGTCTATAAAGAAAACAGTATTTTCTGCCTAATCGCTGTGAATTAACAGTATGCTAATACATGTATGATGCAGGTGTTAAAAATATTTTTTGTTATTAAAAAAAAATGTTCCACTTGAAAACCAATTGAGGACAGTACGTACTAAATCACCTGCAACTGAGAGCAGTGTGTAATAAATCACAAGCAAGTGAGAACTCTTTAAATACATTGGAATAATTATTTTTTGTGTAAGAACAATTTTCACATATCTTGTGCAATGTCAGACCACAGTATGATGTAGCCATAGAAAATAAACGTTTAGATTCTCAATGGAATTTTGGATAAGATCCCAGCGGGTCAGGGCACTTTTATTTTTTTTTATTATTGAAATAAGATGGACTTTATATACATTGAAAAAAAAAATGATTGGTTTTGTTTATGCATCATGTTCGCTGAAGGGAAAATGTATCTATCAGAGAGGAATCTAACTGAGTGGGGCGGACGGGGATGAGAATCAGACATATTTTTTTCTATGGCCTAAGTACTGTGAGCACAATCATAATACATAATACAATAACTATTATTATATATATTCAGCTGTTAAATAAACTCTTGCATTTATATTAATTGTGACACTAAAAGTCTAGTAGTTTTCGACTAGTTTAAATATTGGGCCCTGTAAGAAAACAGAATATATGCTAATAAGACAAATACCATCATATTCATTGATAGCTTCATGGGTTTTAACCTCATCAAGTTTGTTGGTAGACACTTCATTGGTATCAGCTCTTTTGCTACTATTTATGGCATTATTTATGTCATCATTTATATCATCATATTCTCCAATATCTACAATATAAGCAAACAAAAACATGCTATAAGAAATATTCAGGCAACAAGTACTATAATTGGGCTTTAATGTCATATATCCTATCTCATTTCAAAATGTATCAATAGCTCGCTCAAAAAATGACCAGTTATCAATAATAGCAAACCAGTTTCCAAATGATGAAAAAAACACAAAGTCTATAAAGAAAACAGTATTCTCTGCCTAATCGCTGTGAATTAACAGTATGCTAATACATGTATGATGCAGGTGTAAAAAATATTTTTTGCTATTAAAAAAAAAAATGTTCCACTTGAAAACCAATTGAGGACAGTACATACTAAATCACCTGCAACTGAGAGCAGTGTGTAATAAATCACAAGCAAGTGAGAACTCTTTAAATATATTAGAATAATTATTTTTTGTGTAAGAACAATTTTCACAAATCTTGTGCAATGTCAGACCACAGTATGATGTAGCCAAAGAAAATAAACATTTAGATTCTCAATGGAATTTTGGATAAGATCCCAGCGGGTCAGGGCACTTTTACTTTTCTTTTATTATTGAAATAAGATGGACTTTATATACATTGAAAATAAAAAAAAAATGATTGGTTTTGTTTATGCATCATGTTCGCTGAAGGGAAAATGTATCTATCAGAGAGGAATCTAACTGAGTGGGGCGGACGGGGATGAGAATCAGACATATTTTTTTTCTATGGCCTAAGTACTGTGAGCACAATCATAATACATAATACAATAACTATTATTATAAATATTCAGCTGTTAAATAAACTCTTGCATTTATATTAATTGTGAAACTAAAAGTCTAGTAGTTTTCGACTAGTTTAAATATTGGGCCCTGTAAGAAAACAGAATATATGCTAATAAGACAAATACCGTCATATTCATTGATAGCTTCATGGGTTTTAACCTCATCAAGTTTGTTGGTAGACACTTCATTGGTATCAGCTATGTTGCTACTATTTATGGCATTATTTATGTCATCATTTATATCATCATATTCTCCAATATCTACAATACAAGCAAACAAAAACATGCTTTAAGAAATATTCAGGCAACAATTACTATAATTATTAGGCTATAATGTCATATATCCTATCTCATTTCAAAATGTATCAATAGCTCTCTCAAAAAGTGACCAGTTATCAATAATAGAAAATCAGTTTTCAAAATGATGACCAACACACAAAGTCTATAAAGAAAACAATATTCTCTGCCTTCTCTGTGAATTAACAGTATGCTAATACATGTATGATGCAGGTGTTAAAAAAAATATTTGCCATTAAAAAAAAATATTCCACTTGAAAACCAATTGAGGACAGTAAGTACTAAATCACCTGCAACTGAGAACAGTGTGTAATAAAACACAAGCAAGAGGGAACTCTTTAAATACATTAGAATAGTTATTTTTTGTGTAAGAACAATTTTCCCATATCTTGTGCAAAGTCAGACCACAGTATGATGAAAAAAACTAAGTAAGGCCAAAAAAATAAATATTTAGATTTTAATTGGAATTTTGGATAAGAACCTAGCATTTTGGCACTTTTTTTTATCTTTTATTATTGAAATAAGAAGGTTTTTATATACACTGAAAATAGAAAAAAAACAATTGTTTTTTTATGCATCATTTATCATGTTCGCTGAAGGGAAAATGTATCTATTCGTGCGTTTGAAAGTGTGTGTTTGTTATTCCATGAAACGTTTTGCGTTCGTCTAAACATTTAAGTACTGTGTCATGCGTCTGTTGAGAAGTAAAAGAATATCTTAGATAGATATATTTTGTAAATTTTGGGTTTCATAAACCTGTTAAAGATGTTCAGTGTCCCTGTCAAAGAAAAGAAATATTATATAAAGAAATATTATTGTGATATTTACATTAAAGTTTTAAAGTTTGTGACCTCGTGGTGAATACCTGAGATTTCTATGTGCTTACTACGCTGAAGATTAGTTTTAATCCTATTTTACATACGCTTATGATTTATATACATTTTAATTGTAACATTTTTGATATTCAATTCAGCAAACAGGTGTTTATATGCGTACCAATATATCCCATAAGTGGTTCGTCAGGCATCATATGTGGTGGTAAATCAGACTTAAAACACCGCCCCCATCCCCTTTACCAATTCATATTATTACGTCATTACGTTTCATCAAAGACTGCCTGAATCCTAGTTAGGGTAATATTTATTTTAGACAGTTCCTTCCCATTTTTCTAAACAGATTTATATTGATATGTAACAGCCTGGCAGGGACTCGAACCCCTGACACTCGGAATACCATTCCGCGGCTCTTCCATCTGAGCTATTTGGCCGCTTACACATTTTATGTGTTTAAATTAGGGATGGCAACGAGTAACCTGTTAACCTAGTACTCGATTATCGGTTAACAAAATTGATATTCGATTACTCGGAAAAAATGTATAATTTTTATTTTATTTGCTATTTAGACATTAAATTTAATAAATGTATCCAATTAGTTCAGAAATTCGGAGATGTGCATATACCTGCATAAATATCTGTTAAATGCAATCACAACTTCCTTGCAGAGGTGCGAAAATGATACCATAAATTTAATGAGGCGATCATCAGTTTGACACGCGCACGTCATGTGTCGCTTACGTCATCCGGCCTCTTATGATATTTAGTAACCTTTAATTGTGTAACACAGTGCAGTTTGTACCCGAATCTTGTTTTAAGGTAACATTTTTTAAAACAACAAAGGGCCGTATTGCTATTATGATATGTTAATTAAGGTAGTATTTAGACCCGGGTAAACTTTTATTGCCGCCGATTAGTCTATTTTATTGCAAGAAGAAAAAGATTTTTTCACTGTTAAACATGTTTTAAACTTGATATTGCATTAATAAATATTTCTAAAATATAATGTCGTTGATTTAATTTTAATTAATTTGTCTCCTTTGCAGTCCTATCTATAGTTACAAATTCTATGAATGTAAATAGAAAACGAAAGTAGCATGCAGACGGTGTTGATATTGTGTGATAAACTTTGAAGATCATTGGAAATCGTCTGATTAACCGAGTACTCGATCGGAAAAATGACCGAGTACTCGAGTATTGATTTTGGTATTCGTTGCCATCCCTAGTTTAAATATTGAATGATAAGTTATAAACCTACTGTATATGCAAATATTTCTTCGAATTTCCAAGTGTGACTTAGCAATGTGAATTAATTTCTAGCTGGGCTATATGTCAGTCACAGGGTGAGAAAAATGTGCAGCCTGACATAGACTCGAACCCGTGACCCTCAGAATACCGTACCGCGACTGTACCAACTGAGCTGTCAGGCCTCTTACACATTGTATGTGCTTAATAGTGAACACCTCTAAAGCAATACAAATACGGTTAAATAGTTTTAAACAAAACAGGTAAATATATTCTAAATTAACACAAATTGAAAAAAACCAACAAAAAACATACACACATTCTTTTGACAAAAATTACAATAACAATATATTATGAGTTTTATAATTATTATTTTTTACTAAAATGGAATGAGACATTTATTGATAGTTTCATTATTTATACATGTATAGTGAAAACTTTACTAATACATTGTACTACATGTATTTCTATATTTTTATACATATAAAAATAGCTAGCCTTTTTTTCTAGATAAGAAAATTCTATGGTGGCTAATATGTACCATGTTGTGCCTTTGCTCCCTTAAACCCCAGTCACACTAGAGCTTACGATTACTTGCGACCACCGGCGACTTGTAAAACTGACGATCATCAGCGATTGTCTGCGACCAAAACCATTTATGCACAGATAAATTTACGTTTGCGAGTATCGTAAGACAGGTCATCATTGACAATCGTACGACAGGTCATAAGTAAACGTACGATGGTCTCAAGATTGCCTGGGATTACTTACGACTACCCGTGTCATAACATGCGATCACCTACAACTTGTCGTACGACCATCACACGATTACTAAAGACTACTTAGGATTATCAGTGATTAGTGGCAATTTGTAAAGACTGTCGTAAGATTGTCGCACTTCCGAACGACCATCGTGCGACAGTCTTAAGACCTTATAAGATCACTAGCGACCTGTTTGATCGCAAGGAGGTTTTTGTGCAAGCTCAAAAACCTCTTTACGACTGAAATTGGTCGTGGGACCTAAATAAGATAACCTGCGACTGCCAAAGATCAACGATGACCGTCGTAAGACGTTTTAAAGATTGTCCGCGACCAGAGGTCACTGGTGATCGTGAACTGGTCTTCACTGGTCGTAAGCTCAAGTGTGACTGGGGCTTTAGGCATCAAGCGAAAACTTAAAATACAACTAAGAAGTTTTTTTTCTATTTTTGCCCGTCACTCATGGCATTTTGTCGTTTTTCCAGGTCTTCGTAAAAATAACGATATACATTTTTACAACAAAAATTTATATTTTATGGTTTGATACATCCCATACATATTAGTATAGTGTCTAAAGGTTTGGTCCGAAGTGTCCAATGTATGGCCAAAAGTGTCCAAATATCTGGTTTGAAATTGCCAATAATCTGTTCCGAAGTGTCGCAAAATCTAGTTTGATACGTCTGGTAGGAAATATCCATTGTCTGGAATGTCCCATTACCAACTCAGCCATCATTAAATTTAGTCCACAAAATTTAGTCCACAAACTTATTCAAGAGTGCAAGCAAACACCTACTCTACAAGGAGTCTGTAGTGGGATTGACTCTGTCTGAGAACTGGATGTTGAAACCAGTGTCCCTCAATAACATTACATGTTACAAATAAGACATAAATGAAATCATTAAGTAAAGACTAAAGCTGTCCCAAAGTTAGACATGTAATCATAACAGACAGGCTCAAAGTCACCCTTTACAATATTCCCACAACTGTCAGCTCATAATCAGGGCCTAGACTGCTATTTTTGTATGTGGCCTGGGCTTTTAAAGACCTTTATTTTGTTTCAAGACCTGTCTGACAGCCATATTGATGTAGTGTAATTACTTGTGATACTTTATAAATATATGTTTTGTAACAAATGATACCTTGATAAGGTATTCCCTTTGTTATTCTGTGTTTCTATTAAATGTGAAATAATCCACAGCATTGCCATTGTCATTTTTATTGTTTGCCTTTTTGGTATGCCGACTTTGGTCAAAATATTAAAACCATCCAGTTTAATTTATTCATCCGTTTACAAATATTTTTATTTTATATTGAATTCACACAGCTGGATTTCTATGAATTCAACCAGATTAATCAATCAAAAGAATACAATGATATAGCAATTTTCCTAATATGTACAATAAAAAACAGATACAATTATTATTTTAGCACTGGATGTTGAAACCAGTGTCCCTCAATAACATTACATGTTACAAATAAGACATAAATGAAATCATTAAGTAAAGACTAAAGCTGTCCCAAAGTTAGACATGTAATCATAACAGACAGGCTCAAAGTCACCCTTTACAATATTCCCTTAACTGTCAGCTCATAATCAGGGCCTAGACTGCTATTTTTGTATGTGGCCTGGGCTTTTAAAGACCTTTATTTTGTTTCAAGACCTGTCTGACAGCCATATTGATGTAGTGTAATTACTTGTGATACTTTATAAATATATGTTTTGTAACAAATGATACCTTGATAAGGTATTCCCTTTGTTATTCTGTGTTTCTATTAAATGTGAAATAATCCACAGCATTGCCATTGTCATTTTTATTGTTTGCCTTTTTGGTATGCCGACTTTGGTCAAAATATTAAAACCATCCAGTTTAATTTATTCATCCGTTTACAAATATTTTTATTTTATATTGAATTCACACAGCTGGATTTCTATGAATTCAACCAGATTAATCAATCAAAAGAATACAATGATATAGCAATTTTCCTAATATGTACAATAAAAAACAGATACAATTATTATTTTAGCACTCTTAAAATTGTCAATCCTTCATTCCCCATCCTGTTCGGTGTTTACATGTTATAAGTGAAATACATCTTAATAATAATATACATATATAGCTCTCTGGA